GTGTGTGTGTGTATATATAAATATAGTTAAATTAATATAGTAAATTGGGAATTTATCCATAAGATTACGAAAATAATATTATATAAACATATACCATTACAATTAATATATTATTTTGGTTATTGATAACAAACATGCGTAAGTCTCAATATTAAAATAAAGTACATAAAAGTTGCTTTTGAAATAAATTCATGCAATAATTTAATGAAATTTATTTGTAAATTTAGTTTTAATTACAGGACAATTCAATTTCCATATATTAAAAATCATAAGAATTTTAACCTAATATATTATAAATTTATGTGATAATTTTGCCACAAGTTAAACTTATAATACGGTAGACAATGGTCACATGTTTGAATTATTATATGAATATTACACATTTTACATTATATCTTCTTCTTCTTTTTTTTTTTAATAATGTTTACACATATATTTTATGCATCCACCGTATCATATATACAGGTTTATATAATTGTATTAAGAAAATATTAGGCCATTTAAACTATAGTTTGATTCTGGGCCAATTATTTTGAGTAAATCATATTATTACCCATCAGAAAAATGGGCTGGCTAGGCAGCTACTTTCATTGGGCCGGTAACGGGTATGATTGACCCGAAATGGTCCGATCCAAACGGGTCAAACAATTATTAAAAAATATATATATTAATGGATAAGGAAGAATCTAGAATCCCAATGACAAACAATAAAATAATAAACTTTTATTTTTCGCGAAATCCAATAATAGTACAGAATTGTTTTCCCCCCACACCACACATTTAAAAAATATATTTATTACAATACTTTTGGCATTTAATAAAAATATATTAAATTATTTATATTTTTTATTAACATGCTACTAATGAAAATAAAATCGAAATTTGTTATTATCCTATAAATATACACCAGCATATTAAAATAAAATACAAAATACAAAAGATATGATAAGTGATGCCTTGAAAGCCGTCCTTCCGGCTTATCGACAGCCGTCAAATTCGACACTGGACAATCTCCACCGTCCAATCCCATTTCTCGACGCAGCGAAAAACTTTTTCCGATCCACAATCCTCCCCTCCCTAAACGGATTCCAAATGCTTTATCAAATCTGGTTAATGGATTCTCCTTCCGTCATTCTCGCGCGTAAACAAATTCAACTTACTCGCTATTATAATGCGCCACGTCATCGATCTGGTAGCTAAACGAATAGACACTTAGATATAGCGGGTTGAAATTACCAATATGCCCCCAATCTTTGGACGGTGCGAGTTGAACAACGCTTTGACAAATCCTTAAGAGTGGTATACAACTATGTAATATGCACATATATATACATAAATATACATATAGCGTAAAACCAACGCTTCATCTGCCGTTTCTTGCACTTAGGTATAGAAGAGGGACGATACAGAGGAGAGCCTTCTAAGTCAGACCTGAAGAGAGAGATAAGGGCGAGAGAGAGAGAGAGAGAGAGAGAGAGAGAGGGAAACAGTAGATTGAGGAAATGTCTGCAACAGGCGGCGGCGGCGGCGGCGGTCTGGAGGAGGATAAGAAGCCGGTGGATCAGTCTGCTCACATTAACCTAAAAGTCAAGGGCCAGGTTTGCACACCCTACTTGCACAAGAAGTGTATATCCTTGTAGATGAGATTAAGTTTCTGGATTTGGCTTGTTCACGTGGCTTGAATTTTTATTGCTTCATAAAATTGTCTTCCAAGGGATTACAACGGTGTTTAGTCTTCTAATCGTTGTGCTGCTTTTGCTTTTTCCAATTACATGGTGGTAA